CTTCGATAAAGTGTTTCTTATGTTATCTGTGATGATGTTGCCCTCTGTGGTCGTGTTGTAGTGACATGGCCTGCTATTTTAAGTTGTAATCACTACGTTATAGTCATCTTATATAAATGTGTTCGTTTGTTGTTGTTTTTTTTTGCGACAAGCTAACAAACTCTCACGCTGGCCATGTGTTTTGTTTTGTTTTTTTAGCTGTACAGTCACAACACTGGAGAAACATCTGGCAGGAGTGAGGAGAACATGACACGGCAAACAACTCACATACAGCATGAAAAAGTATTTCATAAAATACGGCTCACAGATCTACCTACCACCATACTCTTCAATGAAACGCTGGCAGGGAGGTTGCTGAGTTCAGACTTCATGAATGCGAGTGAACCGAGGCTCTGAAAGCCCCTGAGTATTCGACCCAGTCTCCTTGCCATCTGTAAACTGTCCCCGCGGTGATATCTTCTATATTCTGAGGTAGATAAATGATCCTGTAACTGGTCGTTGAGAGTTAGCTGGTAAATGCTTTCGTCAGTTAGCGCCCAAACAGACTACGGTCGCTGCAGTAAACACTGGTCTGTTTTAAAATAAAAGTGACTTAACCATCTTTGACTCGTGTTTATGTTCCACAGAATAGGAATACGTCCTATGGCGGGTGTCACTGCTATTATTTTACCGGTGACTTTCATTTGTCAAGATCAGGCTGTAAACTTCCGGCGTGAGGGAGTTCTGCCGTTGCGTCGTTTGGGTAGAGTCACGTGCCGTACAGATTCCAATATGATTGGGTGTCAAATAGAACTTTTTTTCTGTTCCCGTGGTAACCACCATTATTTTTTCTAACTTTTCCGAGACAAAAAGACAGATTTTAATGGTTGATTAAGTTTAAGTTTGATAGTGATTAAGTTAAAAAAAACAAAAAAACAAAACTTTACACATTTGTAGAAAACAAGTAAATAGTTTTATAAGAGAGACTTAGATCACATGGGGATTAGACAATAAAAAAAATTAATAGAGTTATTATTATATATTATTATTTTTCTGTAGCTTTTTTACTCATAAAGCTTAGAGATTAAAGTATGTAACATTTATTTTATTAGAAATATAACTTTCTTTACTTACGCATATTGCAATATTTGGAACTTATTTCTGGTATAGCACATATAAAGTTTTTAATCTATATTGTTAACTTAGCTAATGCAACGCAATTTTAAAAAGTAATGTGCAAATAAAAATCTAAACGTAAGAGACAAGATAATAGATAATAGTTTACTATCTACAACTGTTACTGTCCTACCACATCCCAAAGGTGCTTTATTGGATTGATCTCCGGTGTCTGTGGAGGCCATTTGAGTACAAAGATGACTTGAACTTTGTGACATAGTGCATTATGCTGCTGGAAGCAGCCTTCAGAAGATGGTTACACTTTAGTCACAAAGAGATGGTATTAAGGCACCCAAAATGGGACAAGAAAGTATCCCAAAAAACATTTCACCACAATCGCCAGTCCGAAGCATTGACACAAGGCAGTTTGAATCCATGCTTTCATTGATCCAAACTTTCATGTAGTTAACACCAAATTCTGACCACATCATTGAAATGCTACAGCAGACATCAAGACTCATCACACCAAGCACCATTTACCAGGTCTTTTATCGTTCTATTTTTGGTTCAAATTGTAGCCTCAGTGTCCTGTTCTTAGCTGAGGGTTGTGAAGCCCAGTATGGTCAAGCAGCCTGGTCAGTCTGCTCTGACCTCTGGCATAAACAAGACATTTTCACTCAGAGAACTGCTGCTTGCGTGATATTTTGATGTACGTGTACAGTGAAAATAAAGGGCTAATCTTTTCTCTTCTTAAGACTATTCTCTGTAAACACTGGAAATAGTTTGTGTGGGAAAATCCCAGCATGTTGGAGATTAGCTGAAGCTGGTAAAGGGAACTGCATGAACGCAAAGGTAAAGGTAAAACAATATCACATCAACTAAAAAGTCCTAATTTTTTCTCAGGGTCTGATGGAACCCAAATCATAGCTAAAATTAAGGAATAATGGACTTGTATTCAAATACCACTCCAAGTAAATTGTTATGTTTCACTGTGTAGGTAAGCTTGATGTGGAATGGGTAACAGAAATGTGATACTGTAAAGTTTGATTTTAGCCATACAGCTACCAAATGGACAGAATGTACTTTTGATTTAATGTATTTAATGCTTCATTTTAAACTTAAACACTTCTTTTATTTCCATAAGCTGGACTTGGAGTTTTGCAATCTTACAGGAGGAAAGGTGGACCTCTTTTTGCGAAAATGGGAAGCCAGTATCATTCCGAAGCTCAAATCAGTAGCTGCCCTGGAAACAAGAACCCCCCCGCCGTGTGTTAACACACCTACTCCCACCAGTTGGTGCCAGTCGTTGCAGCCTTTTTTTGCACTGGTATGTATTCAGTAAAGTTCTTACGGTTTACCTGAGGAAAGCATTTGTCTACACCTCACTGAATACTTCTCTAAAAATCTATCTTTATCTTCCCCATCTCCAAGCCTGGAACAAGTATTGCATCGCTTTGCAGTGATCCTGAAGCATCATCCACAACACACCAACCCCAGCTGATATGCATCGGTGATCTAAAGAGGGCAACCAGGCAGTACATCATTGTTGCTAAGAATGACAGAGTAACCATTTCTCTGAATGATGGCCTGATGTGTGCTGTGGATAAGCTTTTCAAACTGTACTGGGTATGTAACTTGTCCTATCCAGCACCACTTGGCTCCGTCTTCACCTTCTTTGAGTTTGTCTATGACCTGCCGCTGTCCACCCAAAGGAAAACCAAAGTACTGGAGCTGATTGCACAGATTAAAGGATGCAAGTAAAATGTTCACCTGTCCAAAATGTAGAGAGTCTCTGTTCACAGAGGTGAGAAACCTCATTTGGCATCTTTGTCAAATACACTGCTTATCAGGACTGACCATTTTTATGCCTATGCAGTGGAAAGGTCAGACAATATGAACTGATTGGCTGAAATTTTTGATTTTCGTATTTAAACCCAAGGTACAAAATTGTATAACCTGGATGCTATATTCGCCAAAATGTATGTTTTTCTGTTTGCATGCAACTGCACATTTGTTAAATGTTGACAATTTGTTGAAGATGACAATTGTTACCTTTAAAAATTTTAATTCATGTATTGTCTGCAGGATTATATCAGAACATATACATATATATACAGTGGGACAAAAAAGTATTTAGTCAGCCACCGATTGTGCAAGTTCCCCCACTTAAAATGATGACAGAGGTCAGTAATTTGCACCAGAGGTACACTTCAACTGTGAGAGACAGAATGTGAAAAAAAAATCCATGAATCCACATGGTAGGATTTGTAAAGAATTTATTCGTAAATCAGGGTGGAAAATAAGTATTTGGTCACCTCAAACAAGGAAAATCTCTGGCTCTCACAGACCTGTAACGTCTTCTGTAAGAAGCTTTTCTGTCCCCCACTCGTTACCTGTATGAATGGCACCTGTTTGAACTCATCATCTGTATAAAAGACACCTGTCCACAGCCTCAAACAGTCAGACTCCAAACTCCGCCATGGCCAAGACCAAAGAGCTTTCGAAGGACACCAGGAAAAGTATTGTAGACCTGCACCAGACTGGGAAGAGTGAATCTACAATAGGCAAGCAGCTTGGTGTGAAAAAATCAACTGTGGGAGCAATCATCAGAAAATGGAAGACATACAAGACCACTGATAATCTCCCTCGATCTGGGGCTCCACGCAAGATCTCATCCCGTGGGGTCAAAATGATCATGAGAACGGTGAGCAAAGATCCCAGAACCACACGGGGGGACCTGGTGAATGACCTGCAGAGAGCTGGGACCAAAGTAACAAAGGTCACCATCAGTAACACACTACAACGGCAGGGAATCAAATCCCGCAGTGCCAGACGTGTTCCGCTGCTGAAGCCAGTGCATGTCCAGGCCCGTCTGAAGTTTGCCAGAGAGCACATGGATGATACAGCAGAGGATTGGGAGAATGTCATGTGGTCAGATGAAACCAAAGTAGAACTTTTTGGTATAAACTCAACTCGTCGTGTTTGGAGGAAGAAGAATACTGAGTTGCATCCCAAGAACACCATACCTACTGTGAAGCATGGGGGTGGAAACATCATGCTATGGGGCTGTTTTTCTGCCAAGGGGACAGGACGACTGATCCGTGTTAAGGACAGAATGAATGGGGCCATGTATCGTGAGATTTTGAGCCAAAACCTCCTTCCATCAGTGAGAACTTTGAAGATGAAACGAGGCTGGGTCTTCCAACATGACAATGATCCAAAACACACCGCCCGGGCAACAAAGGAGTGGCTCCGTAAGAAGCATTTGAAAGTCCTGGAGTGGCCTAGCCAGTCTCCAGACCTCAACCCCATAGAAAATCTGTGGCGGGAGTTGAAAGTCCGTGTTGCTCGGCGACAGCCCCAAAACATCACTGCTCTCGAGAAGATCTGCATGGAGGAATGGGCCAAAATACCAGCTACTGTGTGTGCAAACCTGGTAAAGACCTATAGTAAACGTTTGACCTCTGTTATTGCCAACAAAGGTTATGTTACAAAGTATTGAGTTGTATTTTTGTTATTGACCAAATACTTATTTTCCACCCTGATTTACGAATAAATTCTTTACAAATCCTACCATGTGGATTCATGGATTTTTTTTCACATTCTGTCTCTCACAGTTGAAGTGTACCTCTGGTGCAAATTACTGACCTCTGTCATCATTTTAGGTGGGGGAACTTGCACAATCGGTGGCTGACTAAGAAAGCTAGTCGGATTTGAATTTTGTTTGATTTTGTCAAGTAAAAATTGTGATATAGCTTTGGCTAAAATTTAATTTAAAACATTTTAATTGAAAAGATTCTGACAGCTGTTGTTCATTCAGTTTGTAATGATTTATAATATGCCAAATAAAAAATGGAATTCAATAAATGTATAATATATACCCATCTTTTTTCTCCTTTTTAAAAAAAAACAATTGAAATGTACACATTTTAACACATCTTTGTGTCAAAATAACACATCCTTGTGTTTACATTTTTTAACACAGAAGATGTGTTAAAGGAGCAGACACATTAATTGTGTTAAAACTGACACATCATGTGTTTTCCCTAATATGATGCAGCACATGTGTTAAAATTTAACACATGATGTGTCAATTTTAACACATCCCTTCTAAGAGTGCAGCTCAGCAGCTTCTGAAATACTCACACCTGCCTGTCTGGGACCAACAACCCTGTCACCTTCAGAGTCATTTAAATCACTTTCCTTCTTCATTCTGATGCTCAGTTCTAACTTGAGCAGGTCATTTAAATGTTTACATGCCAGAATGTTTTGAGTTGGTGCCAAATGATTAGCTATTCGGATATTAATTAAAAAGATAATAAGATAACATTTTAAAAGTTTGCAAGTGGGTGGAGGTTGAAGGAGAGGTAGCAATTATTTCTGTAACAACTTTCAAAAGAACAACAACAGCAAAACAAAACATTTAGAATATTAATGCATTATTTATAATAATAATTTGTGATTATCATATGTTTGTAATTGATTCAGTGTCGTTATATACTTTACAAATACAGGTTATTTTCAATACAAGGCTATCATGAAACCATAAGGAAAGGCATCTTGCCTGCAGATTAGCTGAAGCCGGTAAAGGGAACTGCATGAACGCAAAGGTAAAGGTAAAACAATATTTAGAAATGAGCAATAATAAGGTTGCGCTTGTTAACTTATAGGAACTTTAGGAACACAAAACGCTTTATTTAGTAATTGTACATCCATACAGCACTCATTAAACCCACAATAAATGCTTTTGGCAATCTAATTTCATACAAGACGTTTTGTAACAAGTTCAGTGTACTCAGATTGTACTTTTAATAGTTTCCTCCAAACAAGATCCCCTGTAAGAAAGTGTTTCCTCAGTTGTATCAGCACAATATCAGTAACATGCTTTGTCTTAACCTAGGTTCTGCACTAGGGGGAGTTAAAGGAGCATTAATTTGAACAGACGTGATAATTTAGGTTTTGCCTCTTAAATCTAAAATGTTTTATCATTTTGGCTTCCTTTATATTCAGAGTCGTATTAACTGATATATACAATGCTTTTACACTTTTACACACATTGCATCTATTTTCTAGACTGCTTAAAGGTCTGCTGTTTATGGCCCAAAGCATTAATAGTACATCAAATTTATAAAAACCAAACAGAAACTGAATAAAATCTGGGTCCGTGTGTCCTTTAAAAAAACTATCTGGTTTATTTTACTACAAGAAATTACAGGAACTATTTTAGCAAAAATATTGTTTCCACGATCATAAAACCAGTGCAAAATAACTGCAAGGTCGCTTTTTCATTACTGCCTGAGCTAAAATGAAAGTGTTGTACATTGTTACAATAATAAGTGCATTTTTTCTATTTTTTATTACATTCGAAAGAATAACTAAAAAATAGTAAAACATAATATGATAAAAGGAGACACTACAGTGTTTCACATCAGGTACCCAACCATAGCAGTTAAACAGCTTCTGCAGGGGTTATTTCAGCTCGAACACACTGTCACAGAACGCTCAGACAGACGTGGCAAACGTTGATACGAGGGTCACTTTAACCAAACCATAATCTTTCCCTATAACTAACCAAATAGTTATTTCTATTATTTACATTGCTTATTTCTATTGTTATATCATCATATTAGGCGCAACATTTTGAGCACATAGAATTTTTGTCGGATGATCCCCACATTATACATTACAAATACAACCTTCATTGCCTTCTTATGATATGAAATGAATTCTATTTCTCTATTCCACATGTCTGTATACTTGTTCTCTGAGTGAATGCACAGAATTTCTTTTCTTTTTTTGTTATTATTCCATAATAACCTTAGAGGTGATACAAAACTTGGATGCACAAATATTTTTCTGAAAATGTTGGTAGTCATTGTTGAACAGTTCTGAGGTGACTTCACTGTGATTGTTGAAGATTTTCACACAACTTCCTGAAAAATCAAGAAATCAAAAGACAGTTTTCAGTTTTGCAATAGAGGCGTAATCCAATTTATTATTGACGATGCATGCTGGTGATTAAAATCTTACCGTCCTTTGTCCTTGGTTGTATCAAGAAAGGCACAGACTGCTTTATCTCTATTAAAAATCTCCTCTTTCAAGCTCTGAATGTTCTCCTGGGCTTTACTTTTAGCCGCTTCATGATTGTCTGAGACAATAAAAGATAATAACATATGAGAGTGTAAATGTATTATTAGAAACTGGTAGCTTTGCGTTCCAAGTAAGCCCGTGGCTCAGTGTTACAACAGCTGGTTTTACAGGTTTTTCATAAAGGAATGTAAAGATGAAACAGTTCTTTTTCTGCTTTTGTAGACAATTGGGGGGGACGACACCCAGTGCATTTAAAAATGCAAACAGAGAAATGCTTGTCTTATTCTCCTATGTGATCCATATCATTGTATAGAAGCAAACATATTTGTAGATCTGTCAGTCCAGAGCTCATAACAACAAAGCAGAACTTAAACAGAAAGCTGGCTTACCTTTGAGTTTATCTATTTCCCCAGTTGTACTATCCCTCGTCTTCTCCGCCTTCTCCTAATGCGAAAACAAGTGGAAGTCAGCAGTTACGGTTTACTGCGGAATGAAGCTCAAATAGAGACAATCAAGCAAATACTTAAATGTATTACAGTTAGTCACATGATCATTTTCTTTTTTTCTTTTTGTTAATGTTTAGACTGCACGAGCATGCAAATGAATTAAAACCTGTGGAGAGTCGAAGTGCAATTGTGTGCGTGTGTGCGCCCGCGAGCCTTGCCTTCTCCGTGGTACAGGCCGCCAGACTTTTACCCGCGTCCTCCGATGACTTTTCAATTTCTGCCTTTTTCTTTTTCAGTTGTTCCACCTTTGTGTTGACGTCGTCCAGCGATTTCTGCAGCTCGGAGATTTTGGCTTTCAGTTCGACTATGCCTTCCTCTTTCCTGGTAACCTGCGCCGAGTTCTCCACTAAGCGGAATTTTAAGTGACTCAGGCGGAATTCCTGATGCACGACCTGGAAAATCAAGACACCCATCACAACAACACTCAGGCCAACTAACGCCATCGCCAGCTTCATCTTGGTTTCGACGGGGAGACACGGGATACACGATGAAGAACTCTTGAGGGTCACTTGTTCATCCCAGGTCTCCGACCTTGCGCACGCGTCTCCTTACCAGTCCGCCGGTGTGACGGGAAACTTGCAGGCTGCGTTACCTGCTGAACTGGATGGGCGTGACAAACCACCTGTTTCCTCCTGTGGCACTCCCTCTCTCTCGCTTGCTCTTGTTGGCAGTCACTTAAACAAACACTTGGGATGTATTTGCATCATGATCAGCCTATCTCAAGCCTTTCTCTTATAGGCCTAACATCTGCTGTTTGCTTTCAACATAGTATACACACACACACACACACACACACACATATATATATATATTTATTTATTTATTTATTTATTTTAAAGAAAGGCAGTTCACTATATTTTCTACAGAACTATATGTGCGTTTACCTTCGTACATATTTTTTTGAATTATGGAGGTTATTATTTGGCCTACTAATTTATATACGTGTGTGTGTGTGTGTGTGTGTGTGTGTGTGTGTGTGTGTGTGTGTGTGTATACAGGCCTACATGCATGACCACATGCCTATTAAGGCAAACCAGTTTGCTCAAAGCCAACAGGCCCAACCTGTCTATCTTTAGACACGGCATGCTAGGAGAGGGCGTGTTTACTGACGAGCTCGGGAACAACCACAATGATTAAAGTCCAATCCAGGTAACAGGAGGTGACTCACTAATTCATTCACGGTGTTGCCAGGGTCACGCACAGAGCAACTTTGCTCGTGAACGTCGAAGAGGCCGCTCTGTAAGAAGATCCGCTCTTCACTTTCCACAGTAAAGGAAGGCTCTCAACGCCGGGCAAACAATGAAGTCATTTTTGCTACCTGCGACCATAGTGGTGTCGGTCGCTTTGGTGGGGATCATGAAACTGCGGAAAGGTGAGCACGAAAAATACGAGAAGCAGTTCAAGTTTCAGGATGTCAGACTGCGGGTTGCCTATGATGTGCTGGGAGAATATCAGAACGATAAGGCAGAGAAGCAGAACATGCTGGAAAAGGCCAGCACTGCGCATAAAGCGCTGGAGGAGGAGGTGAACGAGCTCCAGACCGACGGGGACAAGTCAAAGGGAGATGCGAAATCCTGCCAGGGAGACCTGGTGAGTAGAAATATTTATAATTATTAGGTTCACACAGTTGTATTCCTTTTGTTTCTTTGTAATTCTTACGGGTAGCGACAGCTAGTGTAACTCCCAAAACCCGTTCCACCTGTTGAGGAGCATAGGTGTACTCGGGTGCCCTCAGAAAATCAGGCTTATCCGCCTGACAGTGGACTTTATGCCACCACTAAACTGAAGCTGATTTCCTACATTACTGTACAAAATATCAGTCTTTGACATCCAGCACCCCCGCTTTTGAAGATTAGGCTTAAAACTTGATAAAGTATATAGATGGATCCCGTAGCTCTGCTGCAATGGGTTTGTGATTTCACTTCCCATGATGCACGTTTCTTCTTCACCACATTGCATCCAATTATTAATTAATATGAGTAACAGCGTAAATGGTCGTTTGTATTGGCAAGTTCCTCATATGTACGTAAATTTACTAATGATGCAGCACAGTGTTTTGATTTATAGCTTGTTTTGTCTTGGTAGTTTTTGAGGCGGTCTAATGGTTAATGCAAGAAGAAACACCTGTAAATTCTTCATCATGTGAACTGTTCTGGCTCAGTCATTTCTGATTTATGATATAACCCAATAGTTTTGGCCTGTCTGCCTGTGGTTTCTTCCTGTTAAAAGGGAGATTTTCCTTTCCGCTGTCACCAAATGCTTACTCAGAGGTGTCATTTGATTGTTGGCCTGTTCTCTGTATTGTTACAGGGTCTGTGCCATATAATATAAAATGCCTTGATGTGATTGATGTTGTGATTTGGATCTAAAAAAAAATGATGATTTTTTTTTTTTGTTAATTCAAACAATATATTAAAGCCTCTGCTGTATATATTGCAGGCCCTATTGGGAAAGTTAGCATACTCCTTCACCCAAAGAAACAGCAGTGGATGGTGCTTTCAACTGTAAGAAAAACAGCATGTAGGCTAGTGCTTATGCTAGGTCTATAAATGCTATATATATAACTTCTACATGCCACATTACCAAATGGAAGTGCCTTTGCTGTGTAGCATCATTGTGCATGTGGCTGAGGAGAAAGCCAAGCGAGCCACTATTTTACTCCACTTTGGTTCTTGTGGGTTTTTTCTCTCCAAATCATTTATATTTACATACTTATCACATTCACATTCTGCAAACCATTTGTGCAAATTTGATCTCTGTGGTTTCACCAGTGCTTTGTGTTGCTGAGCTTTTTCTTTGCATTTGCAGAAGACAATAACAGATGAGGTGGCAGCAGCAAAGATACAGTTAAAAAGTCTGAAAGGTAAGTGATGGTTTATGAAGTCTAGTGAATGAAAGTAGTCGTGTAGTTGGAAGTAAAGAAAGTAAAGACTTTTTTGTATGTTTTACTAAGCTCATACTAGCTTCGAACCCATCTTGTAATTTATAACACTTACAGCTCACCAGGAAAAAGAGAAGACGAGCTGGACAACAGAAGAAGACACTCTGAAGCAGGAACTAGCAAAATACAGCTCAGCGTGCCAGTTCATAAAAACAGATATTCCAGAAGCTAGGTATGGTTACCTCTTTGATTAACATAAATCAGCAGAGCCTACTATTATATGTATTGTGATATTGATGCACTTATTATATTTTTATTGTAATTTTTTCTGTTAAAAGAACTCTGTGTGGAATACAAGAGCAACCAAAAGCGGAAGCCCCCAAACAAGAAGAGGCAGAGGCCGAGGCCCCCAAACAAGAAACCAAAGGCTGAGGCCCCCAAACAAGAAGAGGCAGAGGCCGAGGCCCCCAAACAAGAAGAGGCAAAGGCCGAGGCCCCCAAACAAGAGCAACCAAAGGCCGAGGCACCCAAACAAGAAGAGGCAAAGGCAGAGGCCCCCAAACAAGAGCAACCAAAGGCCGAGGCACCCAAACAAGAAGAGGCAAAGGCCGAGGCCCCCAAACAAGAGCAACCAAAGGCCGAGGCTCCCAAACAAGAAGAGGCAAAGGCTGAGGCCCCCAAGGCTTAAAAGGCTAAAGGAATTGGACCCATAAGATCAGGCATGGATACTAGTATCCTGGACTTGGTCTAATTTGGTGTGTGATATACAAGGCCTTCCCTGTAAAAGAGTTTGTCTGGATGGGAGAATATGTTCATTTAAAACCCATCTATATCTTTCTCCCCTCAGTCATGTCGCTGACCTGTTACTAGTCAACCCGTGCAACCCGTACTACTCACTCTTCCAGCCTCTTGTTTCCATCCCAACTTTTAATATTAACCTTGTTTAAGAGGAACAATGTTTATCTGCTCTGGTTTAGTTGAATTCATGGCACAAAAGTAATGCAAAACTGTAAACTAACTATGTTTTGACTGATTGGTTGTATGCATGTAATATCTTGTAAACAGTATGCTTGAGTTTAGGTTTAAAAAATTTAAATGAAAGGAAATGAAATGCATGTCTTTTGGCACTTTCAAACAGTAGGGGGAATATTTCTGTAATGTAAGTTCAAAGTCTGCACAGCAGTCTTTTTTAAAATTAAGTAGCAGAATAATTACACAGAAAGCACTAAGAGTTATTATAGTGCAAAAAATCCTCAATTATATATGCAGGGCACATTATTGTTCTTAGAAATGGAACATCATGATCATTTGTGTGTGAAATGGAGTACTGTGACATGCTGCAAATTTTGGTATCAATCAGATACCAAGTAAAAGGGACAATATTGCCAATACCAATAATGGTATCAATGCTTTTAGATTTATTACTTATAAAGGCAGCTTATGGAGGGAAGAGCCACGTGTCAAGACTTTTGAGATGAATCATCATAAGTTTGCAATTTCTGAACACATTTTAATGACCAGTAAATCAATGATTTTTACTTTCAACATCACACCTTTCAGCGTTTCATGTTTTTTTTTTTTTTTTTTTAAATTGGGATACCTGAAATGAAATGTACCAGTTCTCTTGTTTAAATGTGCTATAGGCTATAAATAAAACAGATGTGACAACACAAAAAGGTTCAGATATTTTTATATTGGGTGTTTGCGGAAAATTTAAATTTTTTAAAAAGTATTAATTTGACACAATCCAGTCGGCTACATACTGAACTAGAGGATAGAAACAAGGTATTGATCCTATCGCGCTAGTATCAATATGATACCACTACCAGCGCTGGTATCGATACTTGCTGTGCTTGCTTTATTTCCAGGCTTACTGACCGCTCAAAGTGCTGTACACCACAAGTCACATACTCTTATACAGCACCTCATTCAACAAAGTTCAACCCCTGTATCTGCTTTACATCCACAACTAATTCAGAAAAAACAAGTAACCTAACATCTCTGGACTGTAGGAGGAACACAGAGTACCTACACAGGAGAACCATTAACCAGATTCAAGAGTCAAGATTCAAAGTGTTTATTGTCATGTGTACAGAAGAAATGGCATTTCTCTGTGCAATGAAATTCTTCCTTTGCTGTCCATACACAAATGCCAAGTTAGGTAGGGTTGATGGAACAAGATAAATAAGGATATGTTCATGGATGTTCAGGAGTCTGATAGCAGTGGAGAAGAAGGAGTTGTTGACTCGAGATGTTCTGGATTTCGGACTTCTAAACCTTCATCTCGAGGGCAGACGTGTGGTTTCTGGTGATCCTCTCCACAGTGCAGCTGTAGAAGCTGCTGAGGATCTTGACTGACATCCCAAATTTCCTCAGCTTCCTCAGGAAATACAGCCGCTGCTGAGCCTTCTTGACCAGCTGTGTAGTGTTCAGTGACCAGGTGAGGTCCTCAGTGATGTGGACACCCAGGTACCTAAAGCTGCTCACCCTCTCCACTTCACTCTCCTGGATAAACAGCGGCTGGTGAGGCCTCTTCTTCTTCCTCACGTCCACTATCATCTCCTTTGTTTTGTTAGTGTTGAGGGTGAGGTTGTTGTCCTCACACCATGACACCAGACCGGCCACCTCTCTCCTATAAGCCGCTTCATCCCCTCCAGTAATGCGACCGATCACTGCAGCGTCATCCGCGAACTTCAGTATGATGTT